AGAGATATACTTGCATTACTGCTGTACTGGCATATTCCTTCCCACCCAAATGGTGTATTTGAACATGTAATTTTACCGGCATTTCTCAATAGGTGCATGGAATAGACTGACGCAGACTGTTGCCTATCAAAGCTTATGCTAAATAAACTGGCCAGTCCCCAGAATATTTTGTTTGGAAAAAAAAAACACAAAAAACAAAACCACAATTCAGTTCAGAAACCTTTCCTCCTTATCAAAATAACCCAAATTTCCGTTACAGTAGAACTTCACTTTAGCATTTATTGATTAGATCTATATCCCACCTTTTCCTTATAAGAAACTCCAAGCGGCTTCTGTCACTGTCCCCCCACTGCTCTTAACTTTCTCCCCACAACAATGACCCTGCAAGGTAGGCTGGGCTGGGAGTCTGTGACTGGCCCAAAGTCAGCCCACTGACTCCGTGGTCGAGCAGGGACTCCAACCCAGACGGCCTGAGTCCCAGTCCTGTGCTCTGAACCACCACATCATACCTTCTATGCACTCCTTCCCAGCCTAGTATCGGGCCCCTGTTGCAAAACATGCTTCCGCTTACACAGGACTCAGGAATATCTGATAAGTGGCCAGACGGCTGTACATTCAGCTCTGAGCCTCTGTCTGGAATGTCTCCTTTGCTCGTGCATCAAACCTGGTAAAGGGCAGGGCGAGAACGAATTTCAGCTCTTCCAACCCTGCAATCTCCTGGAGCAGGATGTGACTTCCGGGCATCTAGTGGTATCCACTGATTCTCCCTTGACAGCCAGAACTACTAGGCTGCTCACAAAGGGCACCTCTTTGTTCTCATAGCGTTACAGGTTGGTTCTACCAAAAAAGGGGGGTAGGACTTGACATCTCTCAGCATGACTCCTTTTTCATGGTCGGGAATGATGCACAGAGACCACAGTGAAGAAAAGCACCTATTAGAAAGCCAGTGGAAACTTACACACACCCTTTGACAAGAGAGGTTTCAGGGTGGTCCCTTTGAATGGATTAATATTATTCAGATTGCAACAGTTTCTAATAGTTTGGCCTCTTTCTCACTTACTACAGGCTTAAATTCAGGTTCAGAGAAGCCATGGTTATGGTAATGGATTGATTCAAGGCTGCAGGATGATCTGCCTCTTCAACATTCATTTGCTTTGATTTGCAACAACAAGAGAGTATGAAAACACTTGCAAATTAAGACATTTGCAAAAGTCCTTAATAAAACCAGAGGTAGGAGAGTCTATTCTGATCCATGCAACTTGTAAGTATTTTCACCAATAATTCATTCTATTTCTACATCGATCTTCCCTTTGCTTTTCAGAATAGTTCAGTGTGCATTCTAATGCATCTTGAACTGCCAAATTTATGGCATATTTAGATGGAGACACCAATCTCAGTGAAACACCTGTCCATACTGGGTTTTAGTCTGGATGTTTGCACTATCCATGGTACTGAACCCATCCACCAAACAGATTCAGTTCATTTAAAATTCAGATTGATCAAGTCATACCATATAAAAAGTCACAGAAGAAATCAGTCAATCAATCAATTAAAAAAAACTTCAGTTAGCTTAGAATTCTATGACTGAAGTTTTGACCAGGTCAAGGAGCTGGACCTCATGATTCTTTGAGCGTATCAACTGCATTAGCTTCTGCTTCATTTCTGTACTACTGCTAAAGTCCTAAATGGCTTGGGACTAAACTACCTAATGGACCATCTCCTCATGGTTGAACCTGCCTTTCTTTTCAGATCAACTAATATAACCATCTTTTATGTACCAAGTTTTGGATCTTTGCATTTATGGAGACGCCTGCCCAAACAGCTTTATTTCGTTTGCACTTCAAGAATTCTTTCCACAATCTTTTAATTATGTTGCTTAAGCATTATCTCCTGACCATCTTTTAACACCCTTCTTTACACTACTCTGTTACTGTGTGACCTTATTTTTAAATGTCGCATCACTGTATTTATTTCATATTTTTAAAGGTGCTTTTCAGGGCTAAACCCTCACACATTTGTCCTAGGGAATTGAGAGCCCATGTACAAATTGACCATTTGAGAATCAGAGTCCCGATTACTTTAAGACCTTTTCTGGCTGAGATAAGCCATCCATAAAAGGTGGCTTTCAAAAGCGAAGGCTTTAAGCCTTCCCTAAAAGGCAAGTTGGAGGGGCAAGACATACTTTCATGGGACTCTAATTCCAAATTTAATTCAAACAAATATGCTGAATTCCTCCAGCTTCTCTATATTAAATACTGACTCTGTTCTTTCTTTTGGAAGTGCTGAAGCTTCATACTGCTTCAAGGACTGCTAAAAATATCACACTGCTTCATCCAGTTTTCTGACCTTCTGCTTTCTTCAGCCAGCACTTTATCAGAGATTGAACTGGAGGGAGTCCAAAGCCTTGTTTTCAATGAACATAAAAATGTTGTACAGGGACTTTATGGGATATTTTAAGTCCTCCATTAGAAAATGATCACAGAGGCAACTCGGCTATTAATTCTGCATTTTTAGCTCTGTACTGGACACTGGTGCAGCTTTGCGACAAACACCATGTGACGTTAGTTCAGTCTTTGTTCCTTGCATGGCGTTTTTTGCTTTTTCAATTAACCGCTGACGGAAGGTGGGACGTGAGCCAGCTCAGGACTGTGGCGGGGTTGTTCGGCCATGCTTCTACCTGAAGGAAGACATCACCTGTGTCGGCCAAGGAAGGTATGCGCCACTCTGCTTGGATCTAGCAAGGGTACCTCCCACTTGGATCAAAATGGGGCAGCGGGCTTGCCACTTGCCCCCACGTATTTAATAACACATAAGTACTGAGATACTGTACTGGGGGTACAAATACAGTCCATAGAACTACTGAGGGCCAGTGTGGTATACTGGTGAAGAACGTGGGACTGGGACTCAGGCGATCTGGGTTCTACTCCCTGTTCAGTCATGAAGCCAGTTGGGTGAATTTGGGACAGTCACGGACTCTCAGCCCAACCTACCTTGCAAGGTTGTTGTTGTGAGGATAAGACTGAGAGCAACAGGAGAATTATGTAAAGTGCTTTGCGTTCCTTGCAAAAGAAAAAGGTGGGATATAAATCTAATAAATATATACAGAAAGTCTTGTTGAGTATGCTCCCAGGTTATGAATTATGAGTGAATCCAGATTAACATGCTAAAGCCTTTATAGCCAGTGTGGTGCAGTGGTTAAGAGCATGGGACTGGGACTCAGATGATCTGGGTTCGAGTCCCCACTCAGCCATGGAGCCAACTGGGTGACTTTGGGCCCGTCACAGACTCTCAGCCCAACCTACCTCACAGGGTTGTTGTTGTGGGGATAAGATGGAGGAAATGTAAGCTGCCTTGAGCCCTTTGTAGGAAAAAGGCAGGATATAAATTGAAATAATAATAATAATAATAATAATAATAATAATAATAATAATAATAAAAGAGTTAGCATATATGCACTTTCTTCCTCTCCCATATAGGGAGAGGAAGTAGCCTAATGACTGCCTCTTTAAAAGAGTTACTTTAGCATGTGCCGATTTAATGTAAAGCTGCAGCTCCTGTGCTCGCTTGTTCAGCACTAAAGCGCCGCTGAACGCAGGGTAATTTATTTTAAAGCATGCATGTGCGGTGGCATGCGATGCATTTAGACGCTGTATCCTCTGATATTTAAAGAAGAAAGTGGATGTTATAAAATACAGCAAAAATAGACATCAAGTCAGTTTAGTGCCCAAGGAATGTTTTAGCCAAAGCTTCTGATGTCACATCATGCCAAATACATTTTCTGTGACCACTAAAAAAACCCCCTTATTGGAAGAATATGATAAAAAAGCCCCCAAAACTTTAGTTTTGCCCCCACTGCCCTCTCTGGGTGCCCAGTTTTAGACTTTAAGATCCGTGGCAGCAGAAACCTGGCTTTTCCTGCTTATGGCATCAAATGAAATGCCATGTTGACAATGCATAACAATAATATGTTCTTGTCAGTCACTGCATTGTTATGCTTATGAACCTGAATGACTGCTACGCATCAGACACATCAGCATATTGAGATTCCTAGTGTATCTAGCAAGTCCTTCCCAAAATTAACTTGCAAAACAATTAAGGTGACTACAATATGATTTGCTTTTTCGCTGTTAATATTCTGTATTCAAGCCAAGGGAGTGACCAGTGGAATAGGGATGCCTTTAGAATGAAGGCAAAGAAGGTGAGCAAGAGAGGGAGGGAGGGAGAGATGATGAGTTACCTGCACATCCAGGTATAAACAATCCCTGCACTTTGCTTTTATTGTAAACTTGAACTGGACCACAGATTCCCCAACATTAATTCCCTTTTTTAAGCCTATTTTCCCTTGACTCATATCTTTCCTCCTCCCGTTTATTCTGTGCATGGTATTTTAGGTATACCATTCAGCAAAACAGAGCAGGTGGACGGATGCCTAAGGAGGCTGACAGGAAGAGCAAGATAAAAGCCAACCTGGTTTTCTGCACGCTTGCTCCATTTCCAATTTCACAAAATAGGAAATAACGGATATGCCCAAGACTGTACCACCACAGGTAGAAACTCCAGATCAAAAATACTCCAGATCCTGCTATTTGGGAGTGGGGAATACACATTTCAGTCCTAGAGTATATTTGTTTGAGCAATGAATTCTGTCATTAATTCTGCATAGGTTTGGATGCTCTCTCAGATTCAGCCCGTCATGAAGAAGTTAGAAATTGAGGCTTTCGTGTGATGTTTGCAGAAGCTACACTCTGTGTCTTGTCAACTGAGAAGAAGTTGAGTCCACCAGTAAAATTAAGAAGCTTCAGCATTCATTCTGTGCACCAAGAAACATTCTTTGGGACTCAGGAGTGGCCAACCTTCAGGTGTGTTGGCCTACAACTTTCAGCAGCCCTAACCTGTGTGACCAATGACAAGAGATGACGGAACACACAGACCAAAACATGCAGACATCCAGAAGTGGCCCATCTCTATAATGGCGTATCTCTATAAACTGATCTACTTACCTAGATCTTTGGAAACAAGGGATGCCACGGCAATATCACCTATTTTTGCAACGCCATCGTAGTATGCTCTTCCGGCAAGAATCATACCTATAGAAAGCAATCAAATGGATAAAGGAAAGACGTTATATTCTAAAATCAACACATTTACCGGTCAACAATGCATCACGGAGATTTGTTTCGAGGAGGAGAAATGGGATGATAACAGTAGGGCAAAGCATAGATACATCTGATCATTGGGTTTTGAATTCATGCTCTATGTGGCTTGCAGTAAGAAGGTAAGAAAAGTCTGACTGGGTCAGACCCAAGGTCCATCCAGCCTAGCACTCCGTACACACGGTGGCAAACCAGCCGCCCACAGGGTCCCTCAAGCAGGACGGGTGCCAGACCTCCCCCCGCCCAGCTCCTCAGCAACTGGTGTGTGCAGCTATGCAAGACCTCTGGTGGAGGCAGCGGCACATGGCCAGCAAGGCTAGTAGCCACTGATAGCCTCCTCCCTCGTGAATCTGTCCAATCTCTTTTTAAAGTTATAGAATGACAGAATAGGGGAGTTCGAAGGGACCAAGAAGGCCATCTAGTCCAGCCCCCTGCTGTTGCAGGACACCACGTCACACCATCCCACTCAGCTGGCTGTCCAGTTTCACCTTGAATGTCTCCAGTGGGGGAGAGCCCCCACCTCTCCAGGCAGCTGGTTCCACTGCCGTATTGCTCTGACAGTGAGGAAGCTTTTCCTGCTATCTGGCCTGAACCTGGGTTGTCACAACTTCAGTTGATTATTCATCCAGATTGGCGGCCATCACCACTTCCTGTGGCAGTGAATTCCACAGTTCACCTATACACCATGCAAATAAGTCCTCCTTTTTAGCTAAAGGAACACTTGCATCCATATATGCCCTCCCGCCCCTTGAGATCAGCAACAGATGCCCTTCTCCGGGAACACTCTGTGAAGGATATTAGGAGGGTGAGTACCTGGAGGAGGGCCTTCTCTGCGGTGGCACCCCACCTCTGGAATGTGCTCCCCAGAGAGGTCCGCCTGGCACCATCGTTATTTGTTTTTCGGCGCCAGGCTAAGACCTTTTTATTTATAACTTATTTTAAGTGTTAATTTATTACGTAGGATTTAAAAAAAAATTAAGCCGAGATGCACCGGGTTTTAATATTTTTAGTGTGTAACTTTGTTGTTGTACAATTTTGTATGTTTTTGTTTTTGTTGTGAGCCGCCCCGAGGCTTTGTTGCGATGGGGGCGGCATAGAAATGTTTTAAATACATAAATAAATATGTCCTGCATCTCCCACCAGTCACCTTCATGAGATCTCCCGCTTGGGTTCTAACCTTGTGGAAGAGGGAGAAATTGTCCCCCTGTCCACACCTTGCATAACTTTAAGCACCTTGTGCCCTGTTTTTCTTTTTTGCTTCCTTTCAAGAGTTGGAAACAGTCGTGATACAATCCCACAGCAGTGTATTAATTCAATGGCAAGGAACACTTGGCAGTTACTCCGTTTTGGGTAGAGGCATTCACAGGGTTAATCTCCCAGAAATCACTTGCTTGTCCACAGATGTATTGCTGGGTCATTGCCCAGTAAGATGGGGTCTCACATTCAGAAACTCAAAATGAATCCCAAGAGCTGTACCAGAACACCAGAAGACACATAATGCAAGCATAAATCACTGGAAGCAATCCATCAGCACAGAATTTTACCTCCCTCTTTGTACATGAACTTGCAGTGTACAGATGTTAATTACCAGATATTTACCAGAGAACAGAGACAGTGCATACAGATACTCTTCCTAATTCCAACGTGGTGACTCATTTATTCGCATGCCTTTTAAGCACAGCCTATGGAGACCTACCCTGAAAGTGCGGTTGCCACTCAATCCCCAACTCTTTCCCCGTCTCCCCAGCAGCTTTCCTCCACCTCTCTTAACATTTACAATTTTAAGACCTGTACAAATATTGAACAATGAACGAATAACACGTAGACATGGTGGAAAAAACACACACACGCAATTAAATGCAAACAAGATAGGCTTTGGGCTGTATTTCAACTGCCAACACACCTGTAATTTCCATGCACCTTGGTAACTTCACCCCACCCTTACCATCCTGCACATGGTTTTCTTTCCTAAGGAACGTCTTTATTTTCTCTCCTGGGTAAATCACCTGTCTTGCCTTTGAGAAGGACGGTTTTTAAGTTTGCATTTGCAAACTATCAACTTCCCTCTCCCCATCCCATTCCAATAAATGTATTTAGATTTACACCCCACCTTTTAATCAAAAGGTGGCACTTAAGATGGTGTACAAGAGACGGTAATATACTACTCTCCCACTCCAAAACCCAGCAGTCTTTAGACCCTGGCCAGAGCATGCTTCTCTTCAGCTCGGTAGTCCAGGGCAATGGGCAAGAAGCTGAGCTGTCCTTCTGGCACAGGGAGGGTGGAAATAGAAGCAACCTCGCAGCTGCTTCTCCCAGGGCAGATGGATCAGGCCAGGCTGGTCTTCCCCTTGCCATCTTGTTCTCCCTTGGAGGCCAGAGTGCATTTCCTTATGTTGACCCTTGGCCCCAGCCAATGGCAGTGGCCAAAATGTGCCCCATTATGAGATAATGTCTTATCCAGATAGTTTTAACCGTAAGTCGTGCTGACGTGTTTGCGCTGCAACTCTTCTATAACTAGTATGATCATATTGATCGTGAAATCAATGCCTTTAAATGAAATTTATGGGTTGCTTACTAGCTATATGTGGGGCTACCCTTGAAGACGGTCCGGATACTTCAATTGGTTCAAAATAGAGCTGCCAGGCTGCTGACGGGGACTGGGCGTTATGTTCACACGACTCCAGTTCTCCGTCAGCTTCACTGGCTTCCCATTGAAGTCCGGGCCCAATTCAAGGTGTTGGTGATGACCTATAAAGCCCTAAACGGCTTGGGTCCTGGTTACCTGAAGGAGCGCTTACATCCATATATGCCCAGCCACCCCTTGAGATCGGCGGGAGAGGCCCTTCTCAGGGAACCTTCCGTGAAAGAAATTAGGAGGGTGGGTACTCGGAGGAGGGCCTTCTCTGCGGTGGTGCCCAATCTATGGAATGCGCTCCCCAGAGAGGTCTGTCTGGCACCGTCGTTATTTGTTTTTCGGTGCCAGGCGAAGATCTTTTTATTTAAGCGGCATTTTAATTGTTAATATTATTGGATTTTATCTGGCCAGGGCGGCTTATTTTATATTGGTATTTTTGTATTTTTAACTTAATGTTTATATTTTTTTAATTTAACGTTATAATTATTTTTTAACTTATTGTTGTAAGCCGCCCCGAGGCTTCGGCGAATGGGGCGGCATAAAAATGTTTTAATAAATAATTAAATAATTAAATATCCTCCTCAGA